AAATGACCTTTTTTGTCCTTAGTAATATTCTCTTATCTAATACCTATTTTGTCTGATAGTAATATAGCCACTCCAGATGTCTTTTGATTAGTGTTAGCATGGCATATCTTTTTGGCCCTTTTACTTTTAACCTATGTGGGTCTTTCTTTTTGAAGTATGCTATTGGAAGCAGCATAGAGTTGGGTTTTGCATTTTTATCCAACCTGACAATCGCCATGAGACCACTAAACTCTACCTGGGTTACCCCTCTCTTCACCATGGCCTGGAAACTCTCTAGGCAGTATGCTGAGGTAATCGCAGGGCTCGCCTTGTTTGTTTACTCTCTCCTAAAGAGATAACTGTTCATTGTTAACTGATGTACAATGTCTTGAAAACCAGTTTTATACATTTTGTCTTTTTTTTTTACAGGTGGTAAGATAAATCTGATTCCTACAGCTCTGTCTTGGCTGGAAGCAGAAATCTTAATGTTTCACTCTTAATGTTACAGTGCCTGCAACCTTCTTCAATGGAATATTCTTGGGTTACTAGAGTCAATTCTCTTGAAGAGCCGAAAGTGCCTGGAAGTTACAAATCCCTGGAATAGCCAGTTGCCAGTGACTGATTCAGGAATATGAAAGCCTAGTTCCTTTGCCTCCAAGTAGGATAAACTCTTTCTTTATAATTTGTGCTCTGGAGCTCCTTGGGATCAGGCTGATGCTGAACTCATACCCTTGCTTTTCATAGTCTCCTTTATGGGCCTGCCTTCCTGACTCAAAAACTGGTTTCACATTGGAGCAAATTTCTAATAAATCACTTGTACCTGAATCCGTATCTCAGTGTCAGCTTTTGGAGGACATACCTTAAAATTAGCTTATATTTTAAAATTGCTCTTCTGTAGAATGTCTCCTTGATTGGTCTATTTTGCTTTTGCTTTCACATTTTTTAATTGTTCATTTGCCCAAAAGAATAAAAGTATTGAGCTAAATAGATATTTAGAATATACTCAATTAAACTCCTTCATTTAGTAAATGAAGCAATTGAGGCTCCGGATGTTAAATAAATAAATACTCCATGTTTACACACCCTAAGAGTAACTGAGGAAGCTCAAAATGAAGTTTCCTGATTTGGACTTATTCAGGTAAAACATGCTCTTAATTTCATAGCGATCAGGTTTTACTAGCTGTTGGATAGTATGTTTCAAACCCTTACTTATGAATATTGGCAGGTATAAATGTGCACATGTTTTGCAGGTGCAAGTTTGTACTTGTAACAGTTTGATCACCTTCCTCATTTTATGATCTTTGAACATTAACCCTTGATGAGTGAATTTAACACTTGCATGTTAAAAAATATTTAAATTTAAATTTAATACCAAAAATCAATCATATTTCCTACTTTTCTTTTCCTTTTCCTTTTCTTTTTCTTTCCTCCCCTCCTCTTCCTCCTCTTCTTCCTCCTCCTCCTCCTCCTCCTCTCCCTCCTTCTCCTTCTCCTCCCTCTGCTCCTCATCCTCATTCTCCTCTCTCTCTAAAAAAAAATAATTTTCCCAGACACTGCCAAATGGCCCCTGTCGGCAGAATCATTTTTGGTTAATAACCACTGCATTAGGGTGATGAGAGTTTTGAGATTTTCTTGGAGAGAAATTCTCCAGTTTCCTGCTTTCTAAGTGATGAGTCTGAACCTGGTTACTAGCATTAAAAGCCAAACAGAGGAATGAATGTGGGCATCTCACCATTCAATATAGAGACCTTGACTTAATCTCTGTGGTAGGCAGAATAACAGTCTTTCAAAGATGTCCACCCTCTAATCTCAGGAACCTGTGAATATGTTATATTACATGGCAGAGGAGATGTAAGGTTGCAATAGGAATTAAGGTTGATGATCAGTTGACCTTAATATGAGGAGATTATCTTATTATACAGTTGGATTTACATATGGGAGAGGAAGGCAGCACAGTCAGAATGATACAGTGTGAGAAAGACTTGACTGGCCATTGCTGGCTTTGAAGATGGAAGAGGCCACAAGTCAAGAAATGCAGGCAGCCGTAACCGGTTTGGCTCAGTGGATAGAGCGTTGGCCTGCGGACTGAAGGGTCCCAGGTTCGATTCCGGTCAAGGGCATGTACCTTGGTTGTGGGCACATCCCCAGTGGGGGGTGTGCAGGAGGCAGCTGGTCGATGTTTCTCTCTCATCGATATTTCTTCTCTGTCCCTCTCCCTTCCTCTCTGTAAAAAAATCAATAAAATATATTTAAAAAAAAAAAGAAATGCAGGCAGCCTGTAGAAGCTGGAAAAGACAATAAAACAGATTCTCCCACAGAGCCTCCAGAATGAAACTCAACCCTGCTGCTACCCTGATTGTAGCCAGTAAAATCCATTTTGAACTTCCAACTTCCAGAACTGTAAGATAATAAATTTGTATTCTTTTAAACCACTAAGTCTGTAGTAATTTGTTAGAGCACCCATTGGAAACTAATAGGATCTCATTGTTTTCAGTGTGGTGCTTTACTATTCACCATCAGCTCTGCCTGGTATTTTCAAGTCCAAAACCAACCTGTGACAATCTCTCCCAGAATGAGTCAAGTCCTACCTATCTTCTGTCACCAATCCTCCCATTTAAAGCCTCGCTAATGCCCTGGCTGGTTCACTCAGTGGTTAGAGCGTAGCCCCGCAGACTGAAGAGTCCTGGTTCGATTCCCAGTTAAGGGCATGTATCCTGGCCCCCAGGTCGTGTGCAGGAGGCAACCGATTGATGTGTCTCTCTCACATCCATGTTTCTCTGTCATGTTTCTCTGTCTCCCCTCTCCCTCCCTTCCTCTCTCTCTAAAAAATCAATGGAAAAATATATACACCCAGAGGTGAGTATTAACCAAAAAAAATTTTTTAATAAATACATTTAAAAAATAAAGCCCCGCTAATTCCTCCAAACTCAAGTTTTCTAAGGTTCTATAGCAAAGACAGACTTGCTTTTACTATTGTAAGTAGACTTCCTCTTTCTCTATTCTGCTAAATTAGTCATCACTCTTCCTCATTCCTTCTTCCAAAATGTATGAACACCTCTTGTCTGCTATCTCTCTCAATGTTTTTGATCCTTTAGAGTTTATGCTGTCATGTTAGTTGGGCTTCAAGAACTAATGGAAATAAACACCCATGTTCAACCAGTTTTATTTTTAGCTAGCATTTTATTGGGCCCTTACTGTGTACTAAAATTTTCATTAAAGCCTCATGTGAATTAAATTACTTGACTCTTACAATAGCTCTAGGGATTAGCAACTATTACTTTCTTCCACATTTTAAAATAAAACCAATGCCTGACTCAGGTGACAAAGCTAATATGGAACAGAACTGGGATGGAGCCCAAATCTTCTTGACTCCCAAGACCATTCTTCTAACTAATTATGCAGTCTTGTTAATTTTCACGTTTCATTTTAGAGCAGGAGTCAGCAAACTATGGTCCATTGGTCATATACAGCCTGTCACCTCTTTTTGTTAAGTTTTATTGGAACACAGCTACACCCGTTCACTGACTATTATTCATTGACTGTTTTAGTGCTACCATGTTAGAGTTTAATAACTGAAAGAGAGACAATCTGGGCCACACACCTTAAAATATTTACTCCCTGATACTTATGGAAAAATTTGCTGGGCCCTGCTCTAAATAACCTTTATTACTGTTTTCAGGTCATAATGTCTGCGTACTTAAAGCTTTTATTTCTGAATCATATCAAAGGCATTCTTTTTATTGTTCCCTCAACATTTTGTTACCCTGCAGATAGCAATCTTTGGTCATGCTAAGAAAGGAAAGTCTCTAAAACCCATCTCTTTTGTGAAGGCTTTCCCATACTCAGCCATACTTGCTCCCTTTTCTGTGCTCCTACCTCAATTATTATAATTATAGTATTTAATGTAGTTTGATTCATATAATAGTTACTAGCTGTGATTCCCCTTGGATCTAGCAAGTCCTGGCACTGAGTAGATAATTAATAAGCATTTATTAAATACTTTCTAAGTGTCAGTGTTCTGGACACTGGAGATACAAAAGTAAAAATAGTAAATTTTTATTAATATGTATCGTATTTAATTAGGTACAAAAAAATAGAAAAGAAGCTGAGCATGGAGTCTGGGTCTATGGTCTCTGCCACAATTGCAGCATAATCACCATAAGTGCTTGGGTAACATCCAGACCTACTGAATCAGAAATTTGTGTTCTTAATCAGCACTTGATAGGTAAGCAGGAAAGTTTGAGAATCACTACATCAGTAGATAGAAAAGAAGTATTATGAGAGAGTAAGGACAAATCTCACATGATCTCCCTTACTATAAACCAATTTCTGTCAAAATGTGATCTTGTGTTGTTCACTTCTTCCTTCCAAAAGATTACTAGACATGCTTAACTGGGCACCTGAACATTCCTCCCACCTCTTACTAAACTAGTCTTTTTCACCACTGTAACCCTATACTTGACACAGTTTCTGGCACCTTGTAGATATCAGTACTTTGTGTTCAACTGTTGAATATTCAAAGTAAAACCTCTCCAAGTTGCCCTAGTATGTAGAAATAGGAATTTTTCAAACTGAAATGGTATGAGGATTGTTTAAGCACAAGGAAGATAACACACCCAGACAAATGTTTAGTTTTCCCTCCCTCTAAAAACCATTCCTTTTACCTCTCCGGGCCACTACTCTTGTGGGAATATCAACCTCCCCCTCAAGGCTCAACTAGACTGAACAGAGCCAAGTAGACCAGTGGAAAAGGTCAGGCATCATGGATTCTTCATTCTTGTAGATAATCTCTTTCTAGAGGCTTTAGTCTGCAGAGAGCCTGAAGTACATTTTTAAAAGGGATTACCTACCTCTGAGGATGATAGATACTCAAGTATCTACAATGAGAGGTTTATCACAATGGACTCTTGCTATACCTGACACAGATCTACTCCTCCCACTAGAACTCTGAATTATTTTGCTGGAGGCTACAACATTCTGAGCAGTTTGTTGGAAGTTGACGGCAGGTGGGGATAACTCACCCGGTACAGGCTTAGCAGAGCTGAGCCGCTGCAGCTTGTTGGGCGAGCCTTTGATGCAGACTGGTTGGACGGGTTCTGGATCTACAGAAGAACCGGTTTGACGGGCCTGTTATGCCAACATATTCTGGTTTGATTCCATGTTCCACAGACTGTAGAAACCTGCCCAGCCAGTTAAATGAAAGACATATTAGGTTATCCATTGCACATTGTATATAGCTTAGATGCAGCAGACTTCTTCCACACAGCAGTACTGTCTAGCAAACTCTAGCGTGGTCCAGAGAGGTGGTTTCCACTGGTTTACTGTTTAAGTTCATAGCTTCAGGGAAAGTCAGCAGTGAACCACCTTCTGCTTTTGACCAAGAGCAGAGGTTTTCCAAATAAACTGAAGGGTAAGTTAATAAATTGCTTTTATATTTCTCAATTTTCTCTGCAATTTTGGAAGCTTAAGTTAAATGATGTTTCAGAAGATATCTATTTTTTAACATAATACCTGCATTATACCTTTTATGTAAATTAGATATGGTTTTATAACACTTGCATATATGTTCACTGACTTATTTGGATAAAGATTATAATGCACTTTTGCTATACTTTTTTGTAAGTTGGATATGGTTATAGCCATTTTAAAAGCTGGGTTGAATAATTTTGCTAAATATATTTCATCTATTAGTAATTCATCTTAAGCCATCTACTTCTTTGATAATATACTATTATGTTTTATGGGCTGTTGCTATACAGTAACAATTTTAAGTGGTAAATCTAATTGTGGATGAAATAATAATTGCTTTTTTAAGGTGGAAAAAATGGTGGTGTCCTCTTGGTGATTGTAAGTACATTAAGAGGAACAATTCACAACAAGAATTGGGGATTGTAAAAAATAAAGATGTGGAATCTGGTAACTGATTAACCATTGGAGCTCAAAGCACTTACTGAGTTGAATAGAAAGGAATGAAGACAAGTTTTTGTCATGCCTTATTACATCTGAAAAATTTCTGGGGTTAAAGAAAATTTGGATCTTCCTTTTCTTTATATTTTAAAATAATTATTTTACATCTTTCATGGGTCCAATTAATTTATTTTAGTTTGTCTCATTTAAAATAAAGTTTACCAACCCCTTTCGATTTATTTTTGCATACCAAACTACCCCCTTAATATTAGATCAAATTCAATGTACAAATCTTCTGGCATTCAATTTAACATAACAGTTAACATATGAATTTATCTGGAAATTAAAATACCTTTTTAAGCAGATTTATACTGAATAGTCTCCTGTCAAGAGCTTTTGTAGACCATCTTAATATGACTTTCCCTTGAACTCAACAAGACATGTATTCTTTTCATTGTCCCTAGAATCCTCACTTTGTTTTTATGTTCAAACTCAAAGGCTATTAGGGTTTCTTTAGGATGTTAATAAATAATTTTTTAAGTGAGAATAAATATTCAGATGAGATTTCATTTGCAAGGAAATCCTTTGGATGCGTTTTAATCCTACCCTCCAAGTCAATTCTGCATAAAACTTCAGATAATTCAGTTAGACTCCTAAAAAGCCATGTAATGTTGAATCTTCAAAAGGAATGTGCTGATTCAGCAAACCAAAACAAAAAGTCTTTTTACCATAAACTGTATTCTGACAATTTGGGGAGAACAGAATAAAAATTTTAGTTGGTTGAATTTTTCTCTTTTCAGTTAGTTTTCAGGCAAGATATGGGTATATACCAATAGACTATACTTTTAGTATTTCTAGTGAATCTATTATATATGGTAATGTACATTTTTTAAAACCATGTAATGTTTAAATACAGGGCTTACTGTTTGAAAATAAACTTAATTTAGGATTACAATTTATTTATTATTGTTTTATGTTTATGGTTTTGAGGAGAACTACTTAGGAACTAGATATATCTTTTCATATCAAATCTATAGGTAATATTTAAAGCCCAACTCTACATTTTAGAGAGGGATTCTATAGTTTTCATTTAATAGGATTTTGTTTTAAATATATGAAAAAATAACTTTTATGTATTTTCCATAAATTGATTCCTTTAAAACATTGATACACTGTGATGTTTTGATTAAAATTAAGGCTATATACACTTATCAATCAAATTAGGAGTCTGTGTTTTTGTACATGTGTGTATTTGTGTTTTATACAGCCCTTCATTATGTCAGGGCCCAGGTCAAAAAGTGTTCTACTCACTTAAAAATCTTTTCATTCTTTAAGTCTAGTTGGGAATGCATTCCTTTGTCTTTATCCTAGCCACACAGTTTCATACAATGACTCTTTTTGTCAACAATGCTAAGTTTCTTAACAATAGTAACCTCTTTGCTTCCTGAGTACCTTCATGTGTTTCCTATCAAAAACACTTAGAATCATAACATTTTTGAGCTAGGACTCTTAAAGATAACTAATGAATCCAACACCTCATTATTTGAGTTGAATGAAAAGCCTCAAAATATGATAAATTACTACAAACAAGCTAAAGGTAGATCTGGAACCAGAACATGTTTCCTCAACACCAGCCCAGACTAATAATTTTTTCACTACTCTATATTGATTCTTCTGAATGCTACATGAAATCTAATCTATGTTTTCTAAAGAATTTGTAAAAAAATAAAGATGTGTTATAGAGTTACATTAATGAGTCTTTGCTGAACTAAAAAATTATTTGCTTTTCTATTTTAATCTATATCATTATTACCCCCAAACTTTTTTGGTATAGTGGCTGAATTTATTGGAGTTGCCATTGATAATGAAGGTGACTGCCATTTCAAACCCTAATCTCTTAATGCCATCGTAAAATTTTATATCAAATTGATGTGTTTCACATTCCTTCATATTTGTGGGTCCTATTGTCATTTTCTGACTTAATATTGTTTTAAACTATCTCAACTGTTTATTTTCTTAGAATAGATGTATGTATTTTTGTATTGTTTTAGTCACTCTTACATGGATATAGTTTAGGATTTTCCAAAAAAGCCATCTAAAGTTTGGTTAGAACTTCAATAAGGTTATGAAGACCAGAATTGCAGGAGTCAAAACCCCTGTTAGAGATGATAGAACATGTTATTTAAGGAGTAAGCTCTTACTACAGTGCTTTGCACACAAGTGCTCAAAAATGCTTTAAATGTTTTTAACTTGAGGAATTCCAAGGAAATGGGATTACAGAAAGCTTGAGAACCAAAGGTTCAAAAATTTCAACTCTGACTCCTAGAACTAAATGTTAATTCTCCTAACTTCTTTATCTTTTCACAGGGAAAATCCTACCTGAGGAATGCTTCTAAATTTGGTAAATTTAGTTCAGTCCAAGTGACTGTGGAAAATAATCACTACCATTTGTTTCTTAACTTTACAGTAAAGAGAAAGGATAGCATGTTGAAAAACATATGAGTTTTTGAGCCAAACTGAAATGGGTTTGAATACTGACTCTGCTACAATCTAGTTTACCCAAGGGAATTACTGAACCCTCTGAGTTCTCTTTACTCCATCTATAAGTTATGGAAACGACTACCATTTTCTAAGAGTTGTTGGAAGAATTACATGATTTATTGTATAAAACACTCAACACAGTTCCTAGAGCATAGTAGGTGCAGCAAATGTCAATATCCTTTCCACCCTATTAATAGAATTTATAATAAATTTCAACAAATAGCTTGAGTAAGAGAAGTCAAAACTTAACTTAGAATACACATTTTATTTTTATCAGAAATATAAAAATTAAATCAGCAATCTTGGAAAGCATTAAGATTTAATATTGAAAAATATTTAACCTTATTAAATTAAAAAATTAGAAACCCATGTAAGTTAATACAATTAAAGAGTCAAGAAGCCATTGTTAAACATATTTTGAGAGCAATATATCAAGGTAATAAAATGTTTAAATAATTTTTTATATTCAAATTCAATCATCTCTATACCAAAGAAAGGAACTTTCAAATAGATAGACTAAATTACACCTTACTTGTGCCTAGTATCTGAGTTTTTCAAAGGCATTTTATATCTATTATCTTATATGACATCAAATTAGTTGTCCAAGGATTTCTATTGGTCTAAGAATTGTGCTCTTTCTACTATCAATTGAATTATTTCTTCAGGGCTCTAGAATATGCTTTTTTCCTCCAAAAGATTCTCTTCTAAATTAAATTTATTGTAAGTCAGTATTAAATCATACTGTATTTCCTTGATAGTAAATGATAGGGAGAGTGGGTTCAAAATGTTTTGGGTGTAATAAGACAGAACAGGATTTAACATTTTCTAAAAATAATATTAAATTAGCCTCAGACTCATTAATTGGTTAGGAAATGGAGTTAATGAACAAAGTTCATATGCAAGATATTTAAGAAATGTATGTCATTAATCAGAAAGAAGTTCAGAAGAGTGTGACAAAACATTCTAAAACCTAAGAGCAGGAAATGACTTGATATTAGAACCAACAAATAGATCTACTTCTAACACAAACTGCTCTTACTGAGCTCTTGCAGTCAACTTTAATTTCCTAAAAGATGTTTAATTGCTATACAAATAAGCTTTGTGCTAATAATATAATTTGAATTTATATCCATGGTAAATGAATTGTTTTTCCTCTTACGATTAAAAAACTTGTATGCAGGTGGTATACCTAAAGACAAAATTACTACTTACCAATTAAGCCTACTAATTATACATTCTATTTTTTTTTTTTTAAGTAAGCAAGAATTTATTCACTGCAGCAAAAACACACTTAGGACAGGGCATAAAAGAAGCAACAGGAGAGCCTAGGCTGGGCAGTTTTGGCTCATAGGGAAGTCAGAGAAAACGAGGCCTTGGCAACAGGTTCAGGGGGTTAGCCCCCTGAGACCAGCTCTGCTGCCCATTGCTCCCCTGGTGGCAGGTCTCATGGGTCTCTTGGAGTTTAGGAAATACATGCCTGTAGGGGAAGGCAAGGGAGAAGGGAATGGCACAGGCATGCTACTAATTATACATTCTTATTAAAACTATTTTATTACATAATAAGCAATTTAATCTTATGTGACCATTCATTAAATTAGTATTTAACCTGCATTTATTTTCACAGATTTAGAGTGTTACTATAAACAACTGAAAAGAGGGCAGGGAATAACAAATCTCAAAGATAGTTTTTAAATGTTTCTATATAAATGTTTCTATATATAAAAGTAACCATGAAACTATTATCTTAGAAGTTATTATTATTGACAAAGTGAGATTATAACTTGCATGGCAAATCTTTAGTTTCAAAGTTCTATCTTAAGTCTATTTCCTTGGAAGTTCTTTGCCTACAGTTTCTACAATGATTCACATTAGGAGTGAGAAAAACTTCCAACACAAAAACATTTTAAATCTAATGAATTTCTGAATGAATCTTGAAACATTGAGAAATACAAGATCAATAACTTCATTCATTCACTTTTCTGAAAATATTTATATTGTAATCAAATTTCAATAATATAAGAACTGAATAATAAATACCATCTACATAGCATTTTAGTGATCTGTTAAATTATGCTCTAGTCACTTTCCAAACAATTGTCTAACAAAATTTAAAACAAATATATGTTGCTCAGAAACAAGTATACTGTTTTTTAACTATAATACAGAGCTAACCACTGGAACCTGGCCATAGGCCAGAAACCTGTACCCTGAATCTAGAATTTGGTTACACCAGAACCTGGCTACAGGTCATTCAGTAAGGAAAATTGTTCAGTCCATCCAGCATGACAACATCAGTCTTTTCCCACAGTTTTACTTTTTAGGATGTGTTTACGTCTTTGAGATAAATGACCTTTGCTAGTTCCACCAGTAAGCATATATTAAACACATCTAGTGTAAATTAAATTCTTAGCAGTTCCTTGGTACCATAACAAACCACATGTTAATACTGTTAAAACCAAGTAATCCTATATAATAAAAAGCCTAATATGCAAATCGACTGAACAGCGGAATGACAGGTGGAACGACCGGTCACTCCATCCCCAGCCCAGGTCAGGGTACATGTGGGAGGCAACCAATTGATGTGTCTCTCTCACATTGATATTTCTCTCTCCCTGTCTCTCCCCTTCCCTTTCACTCTCTCTATGGAAAGAAATCAATAGAAAAAATATCCCAGGGTAAGGATCAACAAAAAAGAAAAAAATGAAAAAAGTTAAAATTTCCATTAACAAAAATACTAAAATGGAAATCTCATGTTTAACCATGATCTCTTAGTTTGGGTTCTCAGAAAGTAGAGCCTAAATCCTCTAGATTATGTGCAAGTTCTTTATTGGGAAGTCATCCCAGGGAACAGTTAGTTATGTGCTTTAATTAGGGAACAGAAGTGGGGGATTAGGAGAAAGAAATGGGGAGGGAGGAAAGGCCAACACAAGAGCGCATTCTGGAGTTCATCCCCTACTATGGGCAAATTGGTACCTTCTTAGGAGCCATGAAGCTAAAGACATGCAAGAGGAGCATTTATCCACCAGTCTGACTTCTATCAGTTAAGTGATGCCTCATGAGTTATTAATTTCCTCACACTTTCAGGTTCTGCTTCTATTTCCAAAGGTTTCAGAGAAGCCCCCAGAACAGAAAGTCCAGGTGAGGGGCTGTCAGGTTTCCTGTGCTTGAATCTGGTTACAACTGCAATGATTGGAGTGAGCAGGTCCAAAAGGTGTCTAGTACATCACTATTACAGCAAAGATATGGTCAAAACACTTATTCCTTAGTTTACCGATATAATTTTAATAAACTATATAACTAAAATGGATTTTCTGAGAAATGAGTACAGCAATTTCTAATTGGAAGTGAGGAACTTTAGCCTATTTTTGTCCGGTGTATTTGATCCATTCCCACAAAACCTGAGAAGATCTGAAACCTGATCTTCTGTGAGAAAGGTATTTTCTAATAAACTACATTTCATTTCCTGAATTTGGTTGCCAATTTTAAAAGGGTCAAACAGCAGCAAATGAGCAATTAGTATGTATTCTGAAAATACTTTGAGTCCAGTACTGATCTAAAGAATTTATTGTTTAAGTTTATATTGGTAAAACTTTAGTAAAAATAGATTGACTACATTGGACCCTCAAGTAACACTTCCTATTATAGTAAAACACAGAATTTTGAACAGAACAAGTTTGTCTTGGACTGTGTCCAAGAGGGTCTGTTTACAAAAAATAATTCATTATAACCTATAATATGATCCTAGAGCATGGCTCTGAAGAATACATTAGACGAAGGCTCTAGTCCAGTGGTTCTCAACCTTCCTAATGCTGCGACCCTTTAATACAGTTGCTCATGTTGTGGTGACCCCCAACCATAAAATTATTTTTGTTGCTACTTCATAACTGTAATTTTGCTACTGTTATGAATCGTAATGTAAATATCTGATATGCAGGATGTATTTTCATTGTTACAAATTGAACATAGTTAAAGCATAGTGATTAATCACAAAAACAATATGTAATTATATATGTGTTTTCCGATGGTCTTAGGCGACCCCTGTGAAAGGGTCGTTTGACCCCCAAAGGGGTCGCGACCCACAGGTTGAGAACCGCTGCTCTAGTCGAATAGATTAAAAATAGAAAACCAAACAGTTACGTGCTTTAAGTAAATACCATATTAGTTTGCATGATAAAACTAGTTTAGCTAAATAAGAAATAGGTGTAAATAAAAAAGAAGTCTATCTCTTCATTTAACTTGAATTGTTAAAATAATTAGTATTTGAGTTTTTAAAAATAACCCTCCTTTTTAAAAAATAATATATTTTTATTGATTTCAGAAAGAAAGGGAGAGGGAGAGAGAGATAGAAACAACAACGACAAGAGAGAATCATTGATTGGCTGCCTCCTACACACCCCACACTGGGGATTGAGCCCGCAACCCAGGTATGTGACCGGACCAGTTGTACCGTGACCTCCTGGTTCATAGGTTGAAGCTCAACTACCAACCCACACGACCTAACCCTCTTTCTTAGAAGATGGTTAAATAAGCTAATGAATTGATAAGGCTGAAATAGGGAAATTGGACTGAAGACAGCCTAGAAATAAGAAAAAGTGGGGATACACACTGCTGAACAAAGCCAAATAATAACAGATACTATTGTCAAAAGAAAGAATCAAATATAATCAGGTATTTACTAAATTAGCTCAGATGGCAATCAACTTGATACCAACACTTCCTTTCTTGAACTTGAAGCTGAGTTTATCATAAATCTCTGTTAAATAAATTATTTCTTACAACCACCAATTTCTGAAATAAATAAATTGGTTTTTCCTCCCTATGCAATTTTGCAGTTGGGCTAGATGATTTTTAAAGTCCCTTGGAATAAAATAAAATGGAAATAACCATAAAATAAAATACCTGATTTATTTAAACTTAATTATGTGAATCAAATAAGATATGTAAAAGCACTTAACAAATTGTAATTTAACCCCTTCTATAATTATAAATGTCTCACAATTTACATAGCAATTCAACATTCACTAACTATAATTTTGTAACTAGCAATTGGAGAGATCTCTATGATTGGCTGTAGCTCTTAAAACTATCTATGATTAATAAGAGTTTCTTATACTGTTTGGATACATACATATAATCATTCAGTCCTATCAACAATCCTGTGAAATACCCAACATATATATTAGTCTCTTCATATCATTCATAAACAACTGAGGCACAGATAAGTTAAATTACTTGCTCGATAGGATTATAATCAAAATTAGAATTCATCAAACCAATTAAGTGGAGCTTCTGCTGATTTTCCAATAGCAACCTATACAAATACATTACTATATACTTACAGTTTCCAGAATTCACAGTGATGCTCCAGAGCAGAACCTTTGCACATGCCTTCTGTTCCCAATAGGAAAGGTTCTTCTTCCACCACTCTGCTTGCTCAATAGGCATGCTGCTTCAAACTTCTATGAAGTCTTACAACAACTCTTTTGGACACTGTAACCATGAATATTCTCATTTTTCAATTGGGGAATAACACTTGTCTAGAAAAAAAAGCAGATAATCAGAGATAGGGCCAGAGCTTAAACCCTGGTCCTATCTCCCAGCTCAGGACTTACCAAGTACCATATGCTGGGAATGGCTATACGCCATCACTGATTGTAGAACACACAATTGTCACAATTTTTTGGAGCACTTCCTGCTCTGGTCCCTTCTAAGATTACAACATAACTCAAGGTCCTTTAATCTATTTAGTTTTAAATTTACTTTATAGAAGAATCCACAGCTTGGGATTCTCTAGATTTGAGAAAGGCTAATATGAACATGTTTGCCAATTCTATTAAGTCAATTTATATTCATCTCTCAAATATCTACACCTATTATAAGACAAATAAAAAGGCACGTGTGCCATAATTACTATGAAATACAATTATAATTGCAAAAAAATCTAAAATAGGTGCTTCACTCCAACCCTGAGTCCTTTTAGTAACCTCATAAAATGTAAAGCTTTCTGAAGTAAATAAAAAAATGTACCAGAACTGCCTGTAGGTAATAGAAATTTTTAATCAAAATTCAGAAACTTTATTTGGTTATTTTCTCAAAAATATTTTCTAAATTAAAAAATTTAAAAGCACAGGATAAGTTTTAAATAAATTTACTACTCAAAACTAGTAGGGTATGCTGCAGAGAGCATAGCTATAGGATTTATAGCAAGAAGATTGGGTCTGAAGTCTTGGATCAACTTATCTATTAGTTTGTACATATAATGCTAGTCAAACCACCTAATTTCTCAACTTCTCTAGAAAGATGAAAACTGGTCCTGCTCTAATTTTATGACAGTTATATTTAGCTTCAAAAGAGAAGATATATAGGAAAAGCACTTTGTTTCTTACCATCACTAATTGTTCCTGAATTCATTTCCTGTCAGTATTAAACAAACTACTTCTAAACTCAGGAATTTCAGAGTACTATCAATAAATCAAATAATATTATTGCTTATATTATCTATACCATAATATTATTTTTTTTAAAGTTTAGATAGGTCTGTACATAGTTGAGAAGGAAATACTCCTGACTACAAAAGGTCATTTTAAAAATGACCTTTTTTTATTAGTTTATACTTCAAATTCCTTAAAGCTTCTGATCATATGATTTATAACCAAAACCAGAACATTTTTTAGATTAAACAGGAGCCCTATTAATAATTAGCCAGAACAACAGATATTAACCAGAACAGTTGCTGGTAAGCCAGGGCATATGGTCACTTTACATAAGCAGCAGGCTAGATTTGAAAAAATGAAGTCTGTTTATTTCTGCTTTAACATCCATAAAAACATAGTTTGTAAAAACTATAGTTTAAAAAGTCATCTACAAATACAAATTGTCACCAAGGGTGTGAAGTGAATTAAAGCATAATTTAATTTCACCATATATTTCTAATACTTCTGATCATAACTTAAGTAAAGTTGAAAAGTATTGGCTGAAACCGAAGGTCTCCTCTAAGAATTTTGGACGTAAAACATTTTTGGAAAAGTAACTATCAAAGCTGCCTTAACCTTAGACTAATATTGGATTAAGAAAATCACAAATCCAATATTTAAACAAAGTCTATCTTTCTCGTGTGTAGTTAGAATAGGGAAAAATGGGGGGGGCAGGAAGGGGTAGTGAGCCTGTTTGAAGACATATCATCTATATAATTTGTGAGGCATGAATACATTAAAAATCACAACTATTTTTCAGCAGTGAAGAAATTTATCAATTCACAGAGGGAAAAATTACCATTTAAAATGTGAATCATTATTTTCTTATAAATGGACAATGTAATGAATATTAAGCGTGTTTGCTCTTATGAACCTAGCAGGGAATGCTTTAATTAATAGACTCCAAGTAACTTGTTCCTAGAGTTAACTCTTCATTATATATATATATATATATATATATATATATACTAGAGGCCCAGTGCACAAAATTTGTGCACTGGGGGGGGGGGGTGCCCTCTTGCAGTCTAGGAGCCCTTGGGGGATGTCCAACTGCCATGGAGATAGGAGAGGCTCTCGCCACCGCACCTACACTCACCAGCCTTGAGCTGAGTTTCTGGCTGAGCGGCACTCCCTCTGTGGAAGTGCACTGACCACCAGGGGGCAGCTCCTGTGTTGAGCATCTGCCCTCCTCCGCCGTTCAGTCGATTTGCATTAGCCTTTTGTTATATAGGATATTTTTTACATTACTGTAAATAAATGCTATTCCCACAGCTTCCATATTGGTAGCACTATACATATGTACATAAGAAATGCAGCATAATACCATACTTACTAGATAAAAGGTAAAGATTAGTTTTTCAAGATTCCCAAAATATAATCCATTTTTTTACTCTAGAGTTGTGATAACTCTTAAATTCTTTTATCATCTCTATAGCAGTTAAGCTCTGAGGTTCTTATAAATTCTGGTGTCTAACAGCAGTGTTAAGTATTAATGCCAATCCCATAAATGCCAGGGCTAACTATCTAACAAAAGTCCTGGGCTTCATAAACCTATATGCATAGGTATGAAATATTGCCCAAGCAGCCACTGTATTACAAAAGATGTCCCTTTCCATACATAATGAATTACTTTGCAATGACATCATTAACATTCTTGGTCAGCTCATCATCATTTAGAGCTAGGCAAGTACGCAATTTTATAGTATACTATACTATCTTCACCCAATATAAAAAGACTAGAGGCCCGATGCACAAAATTCGTGCAAGGGGCTCAGCCCTCACAGCCGTGGCGTGGTGGCTTGCCGTGGCCCTCGCAGCCCCAGCTTTGTCCAGAAGGATGTCCGGAAGGACGTCCAAAAGGTCATTCGGCTTTCCTAAATGGGCAAAGTATATATCTAGTAAAATTTTGCCCATTACTGATATGAAATGAAGTAGCTAATTGAATTATATTTAGAAACACAAACAAAAACTACTTTAATAGTTTATAAAAAGGAAATGAAGAAGGCATGACTATGTAGTGAAAATCAAAATAAATAAAGGTTCTTTATCTAAGTTGGAAGTTGGCCAGACTCTGATTGAAAAGCCATGTATAATCTTTAATGTGTACTATGGCACTTTAATGACTGCCTAAGACTGTCAAAATAAAAAGTGTGATACTGACACCCTTCATGAATGTTAAATACATCTTTTAAAACAATTAAAAGACTTCTAAACCTAACTGGATCTTGGCACATCAACTCAAATCACAGACAAAGCATTTTGGCACTTGGGGCAAGATCACTAATTGGTGTATATGCCTACCCCCAAACAACACTTAGTAATTACTATAAACAACTTTAAAAAATTAAACCAAGTGTTCCAGTTGACAAAATGTTGACAGTTAACATAATTTTCTTTTATCTTAAAGTCTTATTTCTCAAACAGCCTTTTGTCTTATTCTTAAAATAGTTCTTTTGTCTTATTCTTAAAACAGTTCATCCACGATTCATTTTAAAGGTGCTGGACACTTTTATGTAAATATTCATAATGGGTTTAGTCACGTACTTTAAAATTTTTGCCTGAAGATACAGGCCCTCAGTGCTGGGAGAGGAGGGGAATGGGATGATGTAGGGAGTGGGAAAGAGAAGGGAAATGCCAAGCACAAATAACCAGCTCTATTCTGGTTCTTCAGATAAATCACATAACCTCATTTGTTCATTATACTGTATATACTAGGTTTGTGTGGTCTAATACAGTAGCCACTAGCCACATGTGGCTTTGAGCATTTGAAATGCAGCCAAATTGCGATGTGCTGTACAGATTATATACACATCCGATTTTTAAGAATCAGTATGAATAAGAATGTAGAAAGTCTCAATAAATTTTTGTATTGATTACATGTTGAAAAAATATTTTAGATTTTTTAAATTTGATTTGAGAAAGAAACATTGATTTGTTATTCCACTTATTTATGCATTCATTAGTTGATTCTTGTATGTGCCCTGACCAAGGATCAAACTGGCAACCTTGGCGTATGGGAACAATTCTCTAATTAACTGAGTTACCTAGCCAGGGCTATTTTCGATAAATTTAATTACATAAAAAATATAGTTAATTTCATCTATTTCTTTTTACTTCTTTATTCTTTTAGATATATTTTTTCATTTCAGAGAGGAAGGGAGAGGGAGAGATAGAAACATCAATGATGAGAGAGAATCATTGATCAGCTGCCTCCTGCACGCCCCCCACGGGGATTGACCCCGCAACCTGGGCATGTGCCCTGACTGGGACTAGAACCGAGACCTCCTGGTTCCATAGGTCAATGCTCAACCACTGAGCCAGGCCAATTGGGCTCTTTTTGCTTTTTCAAATGTGGCTACTATATAGGGTGCCCCCCAAAATGTATGTGCACACTTTGAATAATTATAAATACAGTGTTTATTAAAATACATTTCACCAGGCAATTTTTAAACAAGCATCCTAAGCCTCCAATGGGTTTTAAGTATGCTGGGACAATAAAATCCCAGCCCTCAAGATGGCAGCATTGGACCTAGGATGGCTGGAGTCCCAACTTCTGTTGCCCCTGAATGGAAGCAGCCTCATCTTTTTATCACAATATAATACAAGTATTCATTTTCTAAGTACTGAAAAGGTTTGGGAAGCATTGTTCTAATCAAGAAAGAAAGGAAAGAAAGGAAAGGAAGGAAAGGAAGGAAGGAAAGAAAAGAGAGAACAAAGGAAAGGAAAGGAAAGGAAAGGAAAGAAGGAAGGAAAGAAAAGAGAGAAACCCAATATTATGAAAGGTTCAAAATAGCAGGTAGGGAGCATATAGCTCCTTATTGGTCACATATATCTGTGTGTATGCCCATCATTTCCACTGTTAAATTAATCATAGTATAATCTCATAAGGAGAAGCTAAGAATTGTGAATAGGTTCAAAGACTTTCATCAAAACATGAGAAATAGGAATTGTGAATAGGTTCAAAGACTTTCATCAAAACATGAGAAATAGGAATCCCTCAAAGTGATGCCCAATTCATTTACCCACAGAGTACCTCCTTTATGGCAGGCACTCAGGTAGTTTCTGAAAGTAAAAAGATTGTGACATCACCCTAGCCGGTTTGGCTCAATGGATAGAGCATCGGCCCACTGACTAAAGGGGTTCAGGTTTGATTCTGTTCAAAGGCATGTAGCTCAGTTGCAGGCTCGATCCCCAGGCTGGATGGTGGTCTCTATCCCTCCCCTCGTCCTTCCACTCTCTCTGAAAATCAATGGAGAAAATATCCTCAGGTGAGGATTAACAAAAATAAAAAGGTTTTGACCTCAAGAAATTTACAGTCTGCCTGGGCAGGTGTCGCTCAGTGGTTGAGCATTGACCCATGAACCAAAAGGTCACCGGTTCAATTACAGATCATGGCACATGCCCTGGTTGCAGGCTGGATCCTCAGTAGGGGGAGTGAAAAAGGGAGCCTATGGATGATTTTTCTCTCTCATCAATGTTTCTCTCTGTCCCTCTCCCTTCCTCTCGCTCTAAAAATCAGTAACATAATAAATGTAAGATGGGAAGGTACATAGTGCTCAAAGAGTATCTAATAGAAGAGACTATTAAAACAAGATAAAAGGATTAGTAATCACTAGGCATAGGGTGGGGAAAGGTTTGTTTCAGAATTCCAGACAGAGGCAACAGCATGCAAAGCCCTAGGATTAACAGGCCAGTGAGGCCAGAGGGCAGAAAATGTTTGGAAATGAACCCGAGGAAGCAGAAGAGGCAGTTTAAAGGGCTTTCTTCAGGAAAACAGTAAGCCACTGAAGGGATTTAGGCAGCATAGTGCCATTATCAAACTTATTTTTCAAGATTATAGTAGCTATAGTGTAGAGGGGTGTTCTCAAAGTAGGCAAAACTTAAATGGGAGAAGATACCAGATTTTAACTTTTTCTCATCCTTTAAAAAATGTCTTTAAAATATGTGTTATAATAGTCATCATGTATTAGCTCAGACATATAAGGGCTAGTTTTTACTGAATACATACTACCTATCTGAACGCTCTACTAAGCAGTTTACATAGTTAACTCATTTACTCTTCATAACTCTGTGAGGTTGGTACTATTATTATCCTCATTTTACAGATAAGAAAAAGGAGACAGGTTAAGGTCACATAGGAAGTATTAGAGCCGGATTCAAAGCCAGGATGTCTGGCTCATTAGATTATATGCCACTTTTCAGCAATACATGTATACAATTTAAAAATACACATGAATTGAGAACAGATGCTTAAAACTTCTCCTGAACACCAGTTTAGGTGGGGTTGTTGGTTGGGTGGATATGAACAGCAGACTAGGTGAGAGATAACGGTATCCTGAAATATGGGGGTAGTAATGAAGAGAAGGGGATGGATTTGGGAGATAACTGGTGAGTAAAATGGACAGGACTTGGTGATAGACTGGGTACGGGGGTGAAGGGAGAAGGAGCCAAGGATGATTTCTTTTGATTCCGACTTACATAAATGGATTGGACAATGAAGCCGCTGACAGAGGCCAGAGCAGCAGGTTAGGCCATTCAGTTATGATAGTTTTTCTTTGGACCACAAGTACACTGTCCTTTCAATGTGCCATTAAAAGGCAGACTGATTACAGGGTCTTTCCATTTGTAACAAAACTCTCCATTTTCATTACAACATTTTTACAAGCAATTATGCTTCCTACGTTGCATTAAAATTGTCATGGTCAAATTTTCACCCATTTTCTCTAAAGGTGAAATGAATTAAGTCATAACATTTGGAAGTGGATGATGTTTGCTATAATAGGGCAATGAAAGTTCAACAGTCCTCTTCTTTAAAGATACCAGCGTCCTATAGGATTGCTAAAACGGTTCAGGAGCATCCTATTATGTTCCATCACAAGAAGTAAGCTGTGATAGATATTCATTCCTGAAGATAGGCAGTGAATGGAAAAATTACTTGTACATTTTGTATTTATGATTTTCTAAATACTACTTAACCTTTTAAAGTTTATAATATTGCCCTATGTCTTCCTCCCAGGTCTTAGAAGAATCCCAGAAAAGAATTGAACTGGTTTAACAGATACTGTGATTCTACTCTATTCTGTTTATTTCCTTCAACTTCATTTGTAGAATTTCTAATGCTAAAACGCTTCTTTCAGAAATCAAGATAAATAGGAAAACATATTAACAGTTCGAATGTTACTAGCCACAGGAAATGCTGATTTAAAAAAACACTAAATTGGGTAAGTCAGCTGGTGAGAGCGTCATCCGGATACACCGAGGTTGCGGTTGGGTCAACCAATGAATGCACAGAGGGTTGCAACAACAAAATCGATGTTCCTCTTGCCCTCTCTCTCTTCCTCTCTCGCTCAAACAAAACAAAACAAAACAAAAACTAATCTATTGCTCCAACAAATAATGCTGGTCATTCGGTCTCTTATTTCAGATTCTCCAGAAACTTCCCACTTAACCTCAGCAAAAGAGACATCGTTTTGCTGCCGGGTCCGGCCCATCACCGAACTGCAGGTAACAGTGACAAGGCGGCGAACTGCGTTAACTAACCCTCCCCTCCCTGCTCCGTTCATTTAACTTCCCCTTTGGTGCAGGCCACTCATATGCTTTCCCTGAAATGTGCTCAAGTCAGACACGTGTATAAATTCCGCGTCACACCAAGGAATCGATTCTTCCCAAACGAAACCTCGTGAGCTTCCTGCCCGGCGTCCCCAAACGCGGTGGCGGTCGCCAGCTCCCGGAGCCGCCGCGCCGGGCCACGCAGCGGAGCCGCCCCGCTCCACCGGCGTCAGCAGTAGCCGCGGGGGCCGCCGTGTGGACCCCAATCCGCCGCGGTCCGCCCGAGGGCGCCACCTCCCTGCGCGGCGGGGGGAAGGGGCGTGTACTCCCAGAAACACCCGCGTGACGTCGCCCGAGCTCGAGGAGGGGCAGGTTCGGCCGCCTCGGACCCGGCCGGCGGCCCTCGGGCCCGCCCCACTCCCGGAAAACGCGGGCTGCCCTGAGGGGCCAGCTTTCCCGCCGCGCGTTTGGCGAGTCAGTGAGGGGAAG